ACCACTTTTGCCGGCTGCCTGTTGGGCCGGAGGGGGCCCTGCTGTACCGGGTCCCTGCACTGCGGGCAGGAGGAGGCTGGGCTGGGTCCCTCCAAGCACCGGCTGATGCAGGCCCGGCAGAAATTGTGCCCGCACTCCAGAGTGACAGGGGCTGTGAAATACTCCAGGCAGACGGGACATGTCGCTTCTTCCTGGAGACTTTCCAAGGTGCTCTCTGCAGCCATGGCTCCCTCTGGGCAGTGGAGCAAGATCAGTTTCACTTTCCTGAGCTCACACTGTGTGCCCCGCCCACAGCAGCAATGGGGTGTTTCCCTTCCTGGAACTGACTCAGGCTGTTTCCTGAGTTTTTTTTTTTTACCTTTAAGAAATATAATTTACTTTCAACCCTGTACTGAACCAAGATGATCGGAAAGGCCTCAAAGGAAACAATTCAGGCCGGGAGGCTTTGGTGGAAAAGGTCCCACTAGGGCTCTGGTCCTAAAATTATCACCTAGAAGAGGTTGCAGAGCCTTGCTGATGTGCTGGAAAGGTTCTAGATGAGGACTGTAGGTATCGGCCAGGGGCCTTCTCTTGCTTTCTTGGTTGGGTCTGTCCTGTAGCAGGTAACTTCTGAGGTGCATAGACCCACTGCAAGCTCACTAGGGCAGGAGGATGCTGATGTCCCTGTAAAAGCCAGTGACCCTTCCCCCCTCACTCCCCTGAGCACAGGGGTTGGAATGTTCCCCAGAGCCAGGTGCTGGGCCCAAGCAGCAAATGAGCAGAGCCCCCCGGACTTGGGAGTGAGCTGAGCAGAGACATGAGAACGTGTGTTTGTCCAGTTCTGTCCGTGGAGCCGTTTGCTGGAGCAGCCAGGCTGAAAAGCACGAACTGATCAGCATCAGGCAGCACTGGCAACACCCCGTCATCAGAGACCTTGAGGCTGGCTGCAGGAGAGACGCTTTTGTTCTGCACGTGACAGCCTGGGGGGTTCATTTCTTTCCAGGTGCACAGGAGTCACTGTGGTCACATTCCCAACCTGCCCTGCACAGCCAGGAGAACAAGAGAATGGCCGGGGTTAAGGCAGGCACTGAGATTGTCACAGAACCACAGGAGCCAGGCGCTGGGGTGTTAGGAGAAACACCAGCTGGTGACAGAGCCCGTGTAAAACTTGCCAAGTCTGGGATAGCCCCAGGAGGATGCTTTGGGGATAGGAAACAGCTTCACTGTTAGGGACTGCTGGTCCTTATCTGGCCCCATCCCTGCCTGAGCCTCTCCTACCTACCAGTGAGCTCAGCCTCCCCATGCATCAGGGGAAACAGGCTCAGGTGGAATAAGCAACTAGTGTGAGTTCAGCCAGAGCAGAAACCTGAACCTGGCTCTGCTCAGGGTGACTTAGCACCTTTCCCCGGCAGCCCACTTCCTCGTCAGAGATCCAACCGTCTTGCCCTCCCCCACAATCTCTGCTGGCCCCTGCTCCCTGCCTGGTGGGGAACTAAGGTATAAACCAGCCCATGGGGCTGTGAGCAGGTAAATCTCCCCCTCCCCCAGAGCAATGATCCAATGCCCCGCCCCCACCCCCCACACAGAACCTGACAGTCCATCTGGGGGCACCTCAGGGCTTTGTGTGGAATGTGCCGGGGTCTCAGCCAGGGCCCAAGGGGCAAAGGTAACCTCACCTCACCCAGCCAGGGTTCCTTGGTGCACGAAACAAGCTCCTGTCCCCAGGGGAGAGCTGGACCCAAAGGCAGCAGGTGGGAAGGGAGCTGGCACTCGGGGCCTGCAGGTACCTGGTGTGGGACAAACACAGAGCTCTGAGACCACTGGCAGAGGGTCTCACTGCTCGGGGGCGGGAGGGGGACAGTTGCTGGGGAACATGTTGCCTGAGAATTGCAATCACACTAGTTAGACATGCATGGCAGGCAGTGATCTGTGGCCAGAGGAAGTGGCCTCTGGGAACTGTGAGCGGGAGGGTGGAGAGATGGATCCCTCAGTCCATGTCACCTGCAGCTGCCCTGCACTCACCCCCATTGAGACTATATCTGCAGGGCCTTCCCAGCCCTGTAACTATCCCTGACTTCACAATCCCAGCCCTAGAGACAATCCAGTATTGAGCCCCTTTGCAGTTGTTTTATTAGTAAATGAAGGGACATTGCACAAGGGCACAGTAGGGCCTGGACCCAGGGTCTCCAGCACAGCCACCCCGGCTGTGTCCACACTGGCCAGTTTTTCCGGAAAATCAGCCGCTTTTTCGGAAAAACTTGCCAGCTGTCTACACTGGCCACTTTAATTTCCGCAAAAGCAGTGACTTCCTACTGTAAGAAATCAGTACTTCTTGCGGAAATACTATTCTGCTCCCATTCAGGCAACAGTCCCTTTTGCGCAAAGCTTTTGCGCAAAAGGGCCAGTGTAGACAGCTCAGATTT